TGTAGTGCCGGGATCTCCCCCTCTCGACCTTTTAGACTACTCAAAAAAAAGGGGGTTGATAACGAGCCGGACCGGTGTTAAAAAGTTGGGGAGAAGTATGTATTAAATCACTAGTATTACATCCTTAAACAGTACCGGCGAGGCTATACGAGTAACTTACGTTTGTCTGAAGGTCGTATATCGTTTGTCGTCTCAGTAGTCAACAAAGTACGACCAATAGGATTATCGAGACCAATGCCTATGAATCGACTAACGTCAATGTGAAAAATCGAATCTTCGTTATTACGTCGAGTTATAACTAGTTATAGTAAAGGACTCGTCCGACAGGAGAGCAACGTGGACCGGTCGCCGCAACGGTACCTTTGCGAAACTAGAAACTTTGTCGTTGTGGACACGCCCAGCAATGATTTAGGTCACCATTAGATTTCTACAAGGTCTTTGCTACGTCCTTAACACCATGTTCTTAGGTTTTTAACGTTATCTTTGATCAATTTTATCAGTCGATTTTCACTGCCGATTTTTACTTAACCTATCAAGAAACAAACAGGAATATTGTTTGTTGATTACCGATATATTATGCAATGAGTCGCCAATCCCCGTACGCCCCTTGCGCGTGAGGTTCAAAGTCAGTCAGTTGTAAAGAGACTTTAAAAGATTCAATTATTATCAAACAGCTTATTCACGCATCCATATTCATGTAAAAAAAACACCTTTTTTGTATGGCGGAGGTATCGTATGTGGTAAGTGTCGTTAGTGTAAAATAAAAATAAAAAATTTAATAAACTAGAAAAAAAGGAATATAGAACAGACGATTATCCAACGTAATTAATTATACATAATAAAGAACATAAAAAGAGAAAAATATTGTGCCTGTAATAAATCCATTCGGTTGTTTATTTCGGCTGACACAAGATAAGACGTGACATTATATATAAACAATTACTAAACAAAAGAAACTGAAAAATTTATGAACGCTTTTATTGCGAAGTTCGGGAATTGATATACTGTTTTGCACCTTCCCATTACACTTTCCGTACCTCCCTTTCACTGGGATATGTGCGACGAACTGTTAGCAGTACCGACTAGAGAGAGGCGTCCGAAACAAGACTTTGTAACTAAATCCCTTTGTTTTTAGTAAGTTTTACATAGAAACCCGACCCTCGCAGCTTTACATTCCATTCCACGTCGAGGCCCCCCCAACACCACCGAGGCAAAATTGCGAGGTAGTGTACAAGGAGGACTAGCCGACGTCCGTACACGTTTTGGATTTTCTTGTTTTGGCTCACGGGGACGGGGGTGTTTGGGTGACGGAGGGGTCTCCCTAGTACGTTGTTAACTCTCCCATAC